AGTTATTTGTACAAAAATTTGTTATTTACTTATATCACTTCTGAATTCATATCACTGCTCGTTCCTCTTGTTCGCGCAACGTTCTCGCTTATTTTCACAAACTTCTGGTAAGTTTCTCTTGTCTCTTCTTATAGCTATCAAAGGTGCCGCCGGTATCGATCGCCTCCTGCGGCATTCGTTTATATCAGTAAGCTATTATTTTAAAGGAATTACCTAAAAACTGAAAGAGTGCAACTGGTAAGAATAATGATCTATGTAGAGTAATTTTTTAATAGCTACAACAAAACACAACATAACATATTGATACAGCATGTCTGCTAAAAATCGTATTTAAAATGAAAAATTTACATAAAACAATACGTAGTAAATTTCTTTAACAAAATTGTTTGAATTTATTTATACTTCACCTAAAATTAAAATGACAAATTCCATAACGGTTTGGAAAAAATTAATTTTGTTTTCTAAACTTAATCTTGTATTCATCTTATAAAACTTATTAAATTTCAGTAATGATTAAACTTTTCTCATTTCTAGATTAAAAAGTTTGATTGCAATGTAGCAATGTTGAGTTTCTAGTAAAAATTATAACTAGAAACTTTTCTAATTATAGGTAACTAACCCGTGGTAATTACAAACTGGCAACCATTTCAATTGTAATTGTAATTTTCGTACTTCTTACCTTATCAACAAATGGACAAACAAATGAAATTCGAGCACTTAATGAAGTTTCGATGTTTTACAAAGATTTTAGTATTTGATAAAATAACTTCACACGCAATATTACAAAGCTATGAAGTTATTCATGGTTTAAGACAGAGCTGTAATTTGAGAAATTAACTAAGTATGTATTTATTTTATTCATGCTGCTGAAATTGTGGATTAAAATGTTGGTAGCAAAATAAAATCTGTTTCATTAAGTATCACAAAGCGAATGTCTATAAAAACCTTACAATGTGCCTCCAATATTATAAGATTAAGATTGTTTTGACTTTTGTACACAATAGATAGCCTATGAGCCACCAGGAATCACAATACTTTTTGCGGAAGGTGTTATACGATGCCCTAGTCCCTAAAATTTCCTTGAGTTGGCACAGTTCATTCCCCCCCTCCTCATTCACCAATTCATAGCATTCTTTCCAAGTTCTACTATCCTAACATCCTCCTAACACATGTATCAAACATTCTACCTCCCTGACACACATTCTGCACCGTCTGTTCTCTTCTTTCTTCAATTTATTTACATCCCCTACACTCATCCCCTGTCCCAAATATTGCTAAAACGTTTACTTCCTCTCTCCCCTTCTAAATACCTTGACATCCAAACCCTTTGCACAAAATCTCTCTCAGCCTATTCACATACGAGGGCGGTTCAATAAGTACCCGTGTTAGAAATGAAGACATCTTTTTTTTTTTTAAATTTTTCTTTTTATTTTTCAACATAGTCCCCTTTTAGAAAGATACACTTCTCCCAACGACCCTGCCATTTTTCTTACCCCTCCAAAAAACAGGATTAGTCGAACTCTCCAAAATCTCCCCTGTCTCGGCGATGACTTCCTCGTTTGAGCTAAATTTTTTTCTCGCTAGTCATTTCTTCATGGTAGGGAACAAGATGAAGTCGCAGGGAGTTAAATCGAGTGAGTACGGGGTGTGCGGCAGCAGTTAATAATAACGTAATTCATGCATTTTGGTGGCAACAACTCCTGATGAATGTGCCGGTGCGTTATCGTGTTGAAAACGCACCTTCTTTTTCGTCAAATGCGTCCGTGTCTCCTTCAATTTTTTGTCGAAGCGGTCCAATAACTCACTGTAGTATTGTCCAGTGATCGTTCTTCCTTTTCCTAAAAAATCCGTAAAATGATTTCCTC